AGTTTGAAAAAATGTTATTCGAATACAAAATTCTCGCTCTCAAAAAAAAAAAAAATTATAATAATAAAACTGCTTTGAATAAAGAAGTGAAAGGTGATGTATACCTGTCATTAAGGCCTTATATTTAGAGTGAAAAATTTTATATCAGATCATGATTTTTTCAGGGAAAAAGATACATGATTTAGGCACAGTTAAAATTGAAAATAAAGAGTTTATTTACTTTGGATCCATTTTTTTAGAGCAAAAACTGATACTTCAGACGGTGTTTGTAAAATAAACTCAACTATATACATACATCCACTCTACGAAAAAATCTTAACTACTAAGTGAAAAGACTTTTATACATAATAGATTTTCCCGGGTAACACCTAGAGAATTTTTTAAAATTTCCATATTTTTTTTTTTTTGGAAAACTTTGAAGAAAAAAACGTGATTTGTTTGCAAAAAAATCGGTTTATTTGTTATCGTAGAGTAAAAATTATTAACTAGTTTGAAAATAACTCTCCGGCGTTACCTCGTAAACTATATACAAAAATATTCAAATTCAAATTTTCAAAGCGACTGTTGCAGTAGGTTTAAAGTTATGAGGGGCACTGACTAAGAAACCGTTGTGGGAAAAACGCTTGAAAGTTTTGAAATCTGATGTGAAACATTCATAATGCAGGTATAAATAGAAGAAAAAACGTTAACTTCGGTTGCATCGCAGCTATAATACCTCTCACAAATACAAAGGTTCTTTACAAGAACTTGATTTACTATTCTAATTTCGTGAAGATACCTCGTCAAATAAAAAAGTTTTCCATGCGAGCACTTTAAGTGAGCAGCTTCTTAGTGAAAAAAGAACATGTGCAAAATTTTAGATCGATAGCTTAAAAACTGAGGGACTAGTTCGTATATATACAGACAGAAGGACATACGGACGGACCGACAGACGGAAATGGCTAAATCAACTCAGCTCACCATGCTGATCATTTATGTATATATTTTATTGGGTCTTTTTTAGGTCTCCGACGTTTCCTTATAAAAATAATCATAACTTCGTCAATTTTGCTCCGATTGACTTGCAATGTAGGCACAACATTCTCGAGATGTTTACATACATTCAAAATAAAAATAAAAAAATTGGAAAAAAATGTTAAAAACCTATCTGTCCCCTTAAATAAGTGAAATAGTGAAATTATTTGGGCAAATAAATATTTACAATCTCTGAACTTACTAGCTGATTTTTTCGCATTGCATCAAGCTCAGTTTAGGTGTCTGCAATACAACGGTAATATAGCAGCCATAACTGTTCTTTATCTATAACATCAATACATATAATGGTAAGAGCCTATATGGAAAGAGAAAATGCTCAACATTTTTGCTGTCTTAATTTATGCTTCGCCAGCATTCAGCGGCACAGTAACCTTTGCCAAAAGACCTACCAGTCGGGCCTTTTTATTGCTGCTTATATGTACACACAAATACGAACATCGGTAGTATAATATTAAGTTTCTTTTGAGTTCAGCTCGCAAAATGTAGAATTTTATGCCTCGCTCACTACTGCACAGATTTTAGTGTTCCGTATTTGTAAAATATTCTTTCGCTTGTCCCCCTCTCCAACAAGCACAATAATATTTAAGTAGCATAAATATATATGCAAATACTAAGAAATTAAAAAAAAAATTGCAAGTTGCCGGTTGACGCTATATTTCACCAAACTTCTCTCCTTTTTCTGTCACCCGTGCTCAACTGTTTCTCTGCAGATAATCTGTTGCAGGGGCAAATGTGGAATTAGAAGGTGTTTACTCTCATATCTCAACTGCATAATGTTTGTACACTTTTATGCTTAGCAACTCGAGTCTAGTGTGAAGTATGAGTTTTCGCAGCAGCTCATCACAAAAAGTCAACAACTTTGTTTACACTGCACGGTGTAGCACCTTTACTAATTTTGAAATAATTAGTATTCGTTCAAAGGCCTGGAGGCTGTTTTACTCTGCGTAGATGAAAATAGTGGAACAATTTTACATTATTTTAAATCGTGCTCTTTTATTGCAAATAACTCTGACAGAAAAGAGTTTGAGTTCTTTTAGAAGATGTACCACAAAATAATATCTTAAAGCTTAACATTTCAATCTTCCCGATGGCTCTTTAAGTATTGCATATTTCAATTCTCCTAGAATACGACTTTGTTTAAAAACAGCCATTTCTTGGCATTGTCGTTTCTAGATTGAACGGAGGCGCGTGATTTTATAATATTTTGACAAAAAGATCGAGTTTTGAATTTCTCCCTTTTTTGTTGTCAGGGCTGTGTGCTACTGCTAGCTGTTGTAGCTCCAAAGTACTTGTATAGAACCTTTAGGAAATTGATTGCTGAAAACCAGCGAGTAGAACCAAAAAGTAGGTAAGATTTATAATGTAAAAGCCTTGTATAAGTTTAAGCTGGTTTCTATATTACCTTATTTTTTTATTTCATTGAATTTTTCATTAAATACAGTTATTTATAGAGTTTCTTAAAATCTAAAACTAGTCAACATCGCCTGGTCAACATTTGTTAACTCAGAATATGAGAAGGGAAAGTATGATATATACGTATTTGATATCGAAAGATATATACTCATAAAGGGCACCTTTTTTAAAAAGTTGAAGATGGAGTGAAGAAAATTCATTAAATCAAGAACTAGATTACTACTGACATTACTAGATTTTGAATTATATAAACAAATACGTTGAATTTGTTTTTGACCGCAGAAAATCTAAAAAATTGCTTTTGGGACATCTATCGCGAACTGCAGTCAAGCTTATAAAGTATTTATTACTAACTTAGTTTATAGTTAAACGGTGTTGTGTCGTTATGAAGTTCGGTTGGGCTCGATACTTTTACTGTTCAACCTCTCAACAGATTACAAACTTTATTAAATTAATTAATTGTTTGAAGAAGAACCAATTCAACAACTCTCTTCTGTCTTCCCTGAATAATGCTAACGTGCTGATTATGATGCCGGATTACATGAACAGGACTCGTTACACTCATCTGGACAGGAATATTCCGAACTTTCTGATGCTGCACTTCCTGAACAAGACTCGCTGATGCCATCTGAGCACGAATAACTTTCTGTTTCTGTTTTTTTCCTTTTGCTCTTGGAAGAAACGCCTGGAACTAGATTACTTAAGTACTTCAGTATATAACCTAACTTGAAGTATTTTGTAAATCCTGCAATGTAGTCCTTTATAAATTGTGAATCGTGGTGGTCATTTGTTTGCTCTATACTATACTCATTTGAACATTCACTATAGTCTGTACACTCGCCATAATCCGCAGTAAAGTCGGTTGTATACTCTATACTATTGTAAGCTGCATACCCTCCATGGAAGTAATTAACAAAAGCTTGCCATAAGTCCTTTGACCACCCCGTAGTCAATTCGCTTCCACACATTCCACTCAAACAGAAATCCTTTATGGGTTCTATAAAGTATTCACTGGTCCAATCTGATATATATTCCGCTTGATAATTGTCGCTGTAGCTGTAATCCATTTGATAATTCACTTGCATGTAGTCCGTAGAAGGCATAAAGCTCAAAAAACAGGCTAGCACTAGCTCAAATGACAATATCCCCAAATTTATTAGCAACTTGAAAAGGTTCATTTTATTAGCTTGTTATTCAACTGATCAGCCGTGTAAAAATATACCGCGTAACTAGCTCTTAGTCACCTTTATATGGATATATATGAAAAATTTCTTAATTAGTGTGAATAATTGGTAATTCCAATAAATCTGTAAATGAGGCGCAGTAAAATCAAAAATAAATTATGTACACCACTTCTGTCACAGCTCGTTATTAGTAAATGCCTCATACATAAAAGTTTTCAAGAGTTGCCCGCTTTCGAAAATGAACCAAGTTAAAAAAAAAATTCATAAATTCTAGAGTGTTACAGAAAAGTAGCATGAAGAGGAAAAGGAAGATATGTAGATGTAATCGCATCACAAGAGAAATTTACTATCATGTATCCAAAAAATCGATTCGACAAATTTCGCCATGGTCGCAAGACTTGTATTGGTCTGGAGACAGTGAATAAGGACTGGACTTGGCCGGAATAAAAAGAAGGCTTAACAAGGAAACCATATTTATAATTTTAAGTATAGGTTGTGTAAGAAAAAAATTGCTTTGCGTGTGTCAAAATTTGCAAAGTCATGAGAAAGAAAACGGTTTGCCATTCATGTAGACAATTATATGTCCACTTTCCCACGCACAGCAATGAAAGCTCCAGTAATTATTTGTTTACTACAAAATTATTTTCAAACTTCTCCTGTTTATGCCAAGTTTACAGTTATAATTGCTCAATAAAAATTATCGGGAACTACCTCACTACAAGATTTACATCCAAAAATTTCTTTGAATTATGAATAGGTCAACTCAATAAGAATCAACTGTTCAGTTGAAGGTCCTTCAAGAACGTGGTATTTGTCCTTTTCTTAAATCTGCTATCAATCAAAAGATTATCATCTTCAAATCCTATAGCCTTCTATCCCACCATTCCTTTGCCACTGTCTATGACAGTTAACTCCAGTAGACCTAGATAAGAAATATAAATATTACTCGTAATTATGATTATCATCACTTGGGGTGTTCACTGTAAAAGATCGAAGTTGTCGTCCAATTATCGCAACCTATAATTATTTCTCTGAATGCCATATCGCTAATACACACATAGAATCCGTAGAAGTCAGGTCATGCACACGTCTCTGACATTTATAAGGGCATTAGTTGCGAAAATGTGAACAGAATCTGGCTTAACTTCAAAAGAATACTCGTGTCGCGTAATCAAGCACATAATCAAAGTTCGACTAAATTAAATATTTTGAACGGCTGAAGTATTGTAAAATATTGTGAAACCAGAATAAGTAACGAGTAAAGATTTCAAGTTTTATGCTCAAAGTATTGTTTTTCATAACAAACTAAATTTTGAAAGCGATTTCCTAAGATGATATATTTATATTATATATATGTTTTAGGTTCATATCACGAGGACATCAGGAATATGGGCAAACTCATTGATTTGTTATATGGACGTGGCGCTATGAAGTATGAGACCAATGAATCATTCCAGCTTTTATTTCAATGTTGGTCACTTGTTGGTGTTAAGCCGTTAAAACCGTATCGATTTGGTCGTTTGCTGCACATCGGCGTCTGCTGGTTTTTACTTCTCCTGTGTCCGCTTACCTTCTCCATGGGTTACCTGCAGACTTTAAAAACTGAGCCTATAACGCTCCAACTAAGCCTTTTGCAAACAGCATTCAATGCCATAGGCGTGCCCGTCAAGACCATTGCCATTGTAATAATGAGAACGCATTTTCGCAAAGTCGAACAGATCTTTGTTCGTTTGGACGAACGCTACCAGAGCGTCTCCAGTCGTCAGCAGATAATAAAATGTGTTGTTCTCAGCACACGTATATTCACCACCGTCGGATTTGTATTTCATTTTTATGGCAGCATCACATATCTTCAAGCGTTTTTCACAAATAGTTATCCACTGCATACATGGTTGCCATTCATCGATTCTATATCTCAGCCAACCATAAGATATTGGACGCATTTTATTTTCGAAGTTTTTCACATAGTCTTCATACTGACAGTGCAAATCACATTGGATTCATTCCCGGCAATTTATATACGAAACTTACGCACACACTTAATTCTGTTGACGGAACGCGTTAGTCATTTGGGCGAGAATCCAGAATTTACTGAAAAAAAGAACTATGACGAATTGGTGGATTGTATTGTTACCCATCAGCAATTGTTAGAGTAAGACCAACTTACTGCTTTTGATTAAAAAAAATTGATTTCTAATTAAGCTTTCTTGATTTTAAGGGCAAAAAATATCATAGGATCCGTCTGCTCGATAACAATATTTATTCAATTCATTGTGGTTGCCATAGCTCTCTGCATTTCTTTGCTAAATTTTTTCGTATTTGCCGATTCGGTTCAACAAGCGGTCACATTAATATATTATTTAGGCGTTATATTGCAGATCATGCCTACATGCTATCAAGCATCGATGATAGAAGACGATAGCGCCAAGTTGCCTGACGCCATTTTCCATTGCAATTGGTTGGCCATGGACAAGCACTCCCGCAAGCTCATCATCTATTTCTTGCATCGTGCGCAAGTGGACATAACCTTCGTGGCACTCAAACTATTCAAAATCAATCTGACAACTAACTTGTCGGTGAGTAAAGTTTTGCAAGGAACAACAAATTTTGAGTTTTCAGTTCGTTTTAGATTGTGAAATTTGGTTTTACATTGTACACATTTATGAGCAACATGGGCATTGGGCAGAATTTGAAGGAGTTGTTGGAATAAATGCGCGACTTTTAAATTGCGGAGTTTAAAAAGGGAAATATAACAAGTTTGATTTAATGAATAGCTTTTAATATGATTTCAATTATTCTTAAGATATCTGTAGGTAGTTGATCCATGGTCCTATTAATATAGCTAATTTTTTTCTTAACATTAAGAAAATCTCTATATTTTAAGATTGAAAGATTGATTAAGATTTTCTTTTATATTTTTAATATATATAAAAAATTGGTACTCCATAATTGTAATTTCAAGATTCTTCAATCGTGTTAAAAAATTTACACTTATTACGAGTTGTTCTTAATAAAGATAGTCCTTATTTTTATTTCTAATATTTTAAGTTCCTTATTTTTTGTAAAATGACAATTTTTTTTTCTTTAAGTCTTTTCAGTAATTTTTTTTCTGTTGGAGATGTAAAGTAGGTCTAGGTAACCTCCTGCGCTGTCCACATCTCGAAAACAACCTTAACGGGTCTCGGACTTCCAATTTGACACGGATTTTGTGTATGACTTATGTTGTTGAATTTGATGAACTTCTTCAAGCAGAAAACTGAACAATAGGGCCCGTAGAAATTGTTTAAGTGTCGATTGAGTAATGTATAAAGTGAACCATATCTAAGTATCTTAAAAACGTTAGGTGACTTTCGAGGGGCCTTTAATACCGTACGGCCGGAGGTGGTTATTAAAGGCGGTATTTGGAGGGTTTGGGGTTCAGGCTCGCTGAAAGTGCGCTCCGAATTAGTCAAGGAGTGTTTGAGCTTCTTACCAGTAGCATTAAGCTATTTGTTATCCGTCATGCTTGAAAGCAGAATCATTGAAAACTTTAAAGCCAATGAGCTTGCTAGAGAGGGCACCCTTATCCCAATTTCATCAAATGGAACACAGGTCGGTACTCCGCTGTTTCTTTACGGAATCAAGCTCTTTTTCTATTTTTATATTATTGCAACATGTTGTTACAGAGTATTCCAGAGTTGTTTAATGGCGATAGATTTTAGATATCACAATTCACAAATACCTAGTTCCTTTATGGTTTGCCATCTCACGAGCAAAAATTGTCCTCTTCGGATCATACCTTTTCAAGCCCCCCGATATAATTAATTAACTTGGAAGTCGTTTTAGCACTTTTTCATACGCTGAAAAGCGTGGGATGGTTTGTGCCATATCTCACAACAACACCAGTATCAATTTTTAATTTTTTTGAAATTGTTGAGTTATCATTTTATTCTTAAAGTCGATAATTCGGTAGAATATTTATTATATTTTTGATTTTTTGCCGCTATTGGTTTTACAAGTTCATCATACGTGTCAACTGCACCGTCAGTTGTAGCGATATCCGTCTACGCCAAGTTGTGCTGAGAGTTTGGACTACTTGTATGCTCAGATCTTATACAATATACTCACTATTACCTTATTGACACTCAGAGCAGATATTAGAAATAGTGGATGATATGTAAAATGATCCCTTTCATATAAGTTTACTTAACGTACGATTATCTAATTCCATATTTATATCACTCTTGAAGGAAATACATGTACAACAAAAAAATATTATTACATACAAATATATCAATATATAATTAGTTTGAACCGGCGATAATTCTGAATGAATATTAAATAAATCACCGATATTTTTCCAACATCCTTCATGTGTCATTACTCGAAACACATACTTTCACCTGGTGTGAAATTTAGAAGTGGGCTAAATAAAAGGGTAAGTTTTTATAACTTTCATCTGAAGACTTGTCTATCTTCGAATAAACTTAATATAAATTGTGCTGTATATACTACTTTGTGCAGATTATTGTCGTGCCACTAGGTGTTGTTAGCACGATTAACGAGTTGATTGAAGGCACATTGTGCGTGTTTCTTAGCTGCCAATAACTGTATATGTATATATGCAATATTAAAATTACGATTTGTGTATGAGCATGTGTGTAGCACGAAATTGTAAAGTGTTTTAGATAATATGGATAACACTGCGATATTTCGAACTCTCGAAAGTGTAGAGAAATACGACAATGTATATGTACTCGTATTATGTGTAAAATACCACCTAATATATAAATAATCACTTAAATGATTTCTTTCGAATGCTTTTATGGTGCAGGTCTCTCCATCTTGTGACATATTTTAATTATAATTATACAATAATTTCTAATTTTGTAAATTGCACGTTTATTTTCTACAAGCTCATTTCATTATAATTACTCAATCAAGCGTATGCACAAAATAATAATTATGTCGACTAAAATATGTCAACGCTTCGCAAATTAAAACACTATATTCTATTTAGTTTTATTGGATTTTTTGTGCAGCGGTTTAAGTGACTTCCGCTCATTAATACTTGTGACTTGATTAAAACGCATTTGCAACAAAATACTAATGTTTTGCGTGAGTAAATAAATCATGTTTACATATTTCTAAACATATTTTAATATGTATTGAATAAACACTTATGAACATTAAATAAATTGCATTTCCACGCCTGCTCCATACGGGGGGATTGCGCCGTTTAACGTGGCCTTTGTGCTCTTTTACGACCCATTTCACCAGCACAAGCCGAGTAGCATTTAAGTGATTTGTACAATTAAAGCGGTGAAAGTGTGCTAAGACTTATCCTTGACAGCGTTGACTGCTTGTGGTGTGCGGTGAGGTACTCTAGGCGATAAAATGAGTTGGAAACGCCCTGGAGTATGCAATAAATATTACATATTGCAATTATTAATTCAATTTCGAGGCGGTTGATTTGAAAACATGTGTATAATTTGTCAACTATTTGTTCATGTGCTTTTAGTGTCGGAAAAAATTGGCATACATTTTAACTACGTTTACATGTAGGGTTCCCTCAAAGAAATTTCGTCTGAAAAAATGCTTCCCACTTTGTATGGGAGAGACTAAGGATTGCGTCTCATAAATAAGAAAATCATTTTGTGATGTAAATGTAAACACGCCCTTTTCCATTTTTACCATCGTTTTTAGTTAAATTTTTCGTAATATATTCGCGGATTTGTTCTTCAAATTAACTTCAACTTAGATATCTGGGAGCGACCCAGGCCAGCAATTTTAGTTTTAAAAACTTGGTATTTTCCCAGTCTGCATCTGCTATAATACCACTTGCTCCAATTAAAGCGAGGCGACTTAAGATCAGACCTCTTAGTACCAAATAGTTTTTGGAACATATACTATAGAGATCAAATAAGATTTAATTATTTATTTGATGTAAAACAGGCAAAAAACGTTAACTTCGGTTGCACTGAAGCTATAATACCCTTCACAAATACAAAGGCTCCTTACAAGAGCTTGATTCCGATTGTTCAATTTGTGTGATCTGATCTGAACAATTTCTTCGGAGAATACATTGTAGCCTTAAACAATAACTCGTGCCTAATTTCGTGAAGATACCTCGTCAAATAAAAAAAGTTTTTCATGAAAGCACTGTATTCCGATCGTTCAGTTAGTATGACAGCTATATGCTATAGTGGTCCGATATCGGCAGATCGATTGCTTAAAAACTGAGGGACTAGTTAGCATATGTACAGACAGACGGAGAGACGGACATATTATAGGGTCTCCGACGTTTCCTTCTGGGTGTTACAAAACTTCGTGGCAAACTTAATATACCCTGTTCAGGGTATAAATATATGAAATAAGTAATCAAAACGGTGGAAATACCTTTAGGTGTAGGCCAAAGTTTATTTAAAAAACTGTTACGTAAAAATTCGACATTCATTATTCGATGAAGTTATGCATGGATTTCATTCAGAGAACCAGAGAAACGAAAACATTATATTAGTCATGCGGAATAAATGAAATCTCATTATGTTTAAAAAAATATTTCCACTTAATTTTATAAAAGTATTACACAGATGGACGGTTATAAACAGTTGAAAGTCAGGTGGAAAATCGTTAATCACTATATCAGGATTATTGGGGCTATAGGCAGGTCTGGACTGATTACATTAACATATTAATTGCGCTGTTGTTGTCAATGTAAAATTTAGTTTTAACAACGCTGCCGAGGTTTCACTGGTTAGGTATACCTGATTGCCAGGAAAAGCTTTCAACATTGATGTTCTGTCGCATCAACATTGGAACATTTGGCCTATCTGTCTTTAAAACTGAAGGTCCTGATTTTGTGTCGGCGTTTCCAGAAATTGTAGAGTCCATCACTTCTTATTGCAGTAAAACAACAGTAAACTTTTACCAACAGTAAACTTTTGCCATTTTAAAAATAACGTCTGCTCTAAGATCTCATTGAGTGATAGAGTATTCTTCTCACAGTTTTCTCTTGAGCTAATATTACTCTCTATATTGCGCATGTCTCCCATGGAGATATTTGTATATGTTTGGGTATGCTCAATTACTCAATTCGAGTGAGTTAATTTTGGATTGTTTGATATTTAATTAGATGGTCCTACCTCAACAATGAAGTAATAGTTATCTGATATACATAAAGAGGCGGAAAGAAAATGCAGATGGGTAAGCATTTAAGGCATATCACTCTTGAACTACCAAATTTTGATACAGGGCAAGGGTGCAATTTTTTTGTTATGAAGGTTTTGGTGGCAGATGATTTTAATTTAAAACAGTATTTTAAATACTCACCAAAATAAGACTAATTGTCTTACTTATTCCTTTGATCGAAATAAAAATAAAACAATTATTTGGTTAATAAAGACACAGTTTTGTACACCTAACAGTTGTTGGTAACACCTTGAACTTATTGCGATAGATACACATATATATACAGTCGTGTCCGGATATAGTGAACTAATTATTGCAAGGCCTTTTCACCACAGCACTAGTGAACTAGTATAATCACTATCATAGCGTCCATGCGATAGATTTATCGAAGCTTTCAATAGCGTTAAAGCTTTGACATTATTTTAGGAGGGTATATCTTCTTGTTTGTCATCATCAGATTCTTTCATATTATCGGCGTCTTTTTCAAAATTGACATAAGCTCATAAATAATATTGTTGAGCTTATTCTTAAATGGTTCAATAGCTCGTGTGTCGGATGACAGTTTCTTCCCGGATAGTTTTAGCAGTCGAGTTCCGAAGCGGGACTTAAATCCAGATAACTATCAGAAATTAGCATAGACATTTCCTTTCGTTTCTTAAATATCAGAATTTATCGCCTTTTTCTTTATTAACTCCCCACTGACTGGACATTTTTTTTCGTTGATTTACAAACCTGTTATATTATATTTTATACTTTACGGCTCTTTTTGTTTATTATCGAAAATGTTGATTTAGCTACTCCATATGTTTTTGCCAAGTAGGAAACAATAATACATTTTCCGATTTGTTAAACAATTTCCCATTTTTCTTTTAAAGAAAGAAATTTTCACAAAAACATGATTGCACTCACTGTATTTGCATTCAACATAAAATGAAAAGAGCTCGCGCACAAACTGTTTGCACTCGGCCAAGGACAAAACAAACACTAAACATTTTTTTTCGTACAAAACATTTTTTTGTGTTCTTTGAGGCAAATTGTTGGACACGTATTTTTTACTTCGACTCAATATGACATTTCGAGTTATGAATTTTCAAAATTTCAACGCTCGAAAAAAGTACCTTTAAACATTTGCGTAAACGAAGAAAGTATTTGATTATAAAAATAACTAGACTGCCTAATGTTTACGATGTTATGCTCATTGCTCAGTTAAAAATACGCTCACACATGGCTAACTCCCGCGGGTATTCTTTTCCCTCAGCCATAACTCTACTTTCCATTGTTTCTAATTTCCGCTCTTTCAGGATCTTTCTTTTGTCACTACACAAAATTGTTAATAAAATTTAATGACTTAGCTGGCGGAGACAGTTTCCGCCGTAATTTTCGGCTTTATGACTGTCACGACGTGCATGTGTCCGCCAGTGCTTCGTGGCACACATAAATTAACTCGCTGTAATGAGCATGTCTCGTGTGTCACCAGTTAGAAAAAACATCGTACATTAATGGCAGTCCGCGCATTTGTTGGTGTGTGTGTGTCTATGTGTAAGCAAAATAAAAAACCGCAAATGTAATGTAATAAGTGAAATGTTCGTGAGTTACTTAGAAAAAGCGGGCACGAAATGACACCAGCCGAAGCCAAAGCTGCAATGCGCGCACAACCAAACTTTCCCGCCAAAATGTGCGATACTGCATGATTTCCACACACTCACCCACCGGCACACAAACGGGAGTTGCGGGAGCGCGCACGGACATTCATATAGAAATTCACACTTGTTTCGACTTGGCAGAGCAATGACAAAGTTATGGGGTTTATAATGACATCAATCAGTATATGGAAAAGTCAGTCAGTTAAAGCCATTCCTACATATATACACATACATAATTACTGGCGTGTACAAGTATATAAACAAGCTCGACAAAAGTAAACAAACAAGAACGCATGTGCCTAAGTGTAACAATAAAAGTATTGAAGGGGTGAGTGTGTCTGTGCCGGCGACTGAACTTGTTGCCACTCAAGGATTCCCTGCTTACTCACTCACTCAGTCTCTTACTCCTTACGGCTGTTGGCATTCTGTGCTGCATTGAGCCAAAGAGCGAGTTTCTTGTGTGCGGTGGATAAAGGTTTGTAAATAAACTGCGTGGCGTTCAGTCCCAAACAGTGTGCTGACGGCGGCAGTTCTTGTTTGGCGGTGAAAGCGAATGCACGTTCGTGAAAGAATATGTGTGGTGTTTCGAGTCGAAAGATATATAAAGGATTGCGGAACATTATATGGGAAAGCGTGATAAATTCGTGTTTGATTCTTGATGATTTTTCATTGAGGTCAGTAATTTGGCAGGGAAATGGAAAGCAATGTGAGATTTTGAAATTCCGTTGAAAAACAACACGGAAATAAGTGATGAAAAATTAATAAATAATATTACAAAAAAATTATGCATTGTGCATAAAAGTTTTCTAGCGAGGTGATATGGATGACATCTATACATAATTGAATAAGGAAGCCAAAAATTCAAAATAAAAAAATAATGTATCTTAAAAAATTCAATATTATGTGTATAAATATTAGATCAAATAATTCCATATATTAAAAGTCTCCTGAGTATGGATGTGTATAAAATCAAATGGTCAAATTGTAAAATGTGACGTAAATGAAAAAATTTGGTAACATCAACATGCTAATGCTCCAAGAATGATCGTGACCGCTTAGCAGTTTAATAAGGGCTGACTTCCGTATATGGTACGTACTACGCGGATAACTCATATATGGAAGTATTAAAAACTTGTGAAAATAACAGTTTAAAATAGTTTCGAATCATAAAAAGTTCACAAAAAATGAGGCACATCAATTGTTGTTGCGGATATATAATTTCAAGGTAACTGGGTCACCCTTTTTGTGCTAATAACTTTTACAGCCTTACTAACTTAAAGAAATGGTTGTAGAAATTTGCAGGTAATATTAAGTTCGCTAAAAGTCTTTGGCATTTCTTCAAGTCAGATAAATTTTATGCACTTATGCATTAAACACATTGAAGACAACAGGCGACAGCATCTGTCAAATATTAAAATACACACGTTCTTATGGGCACAGTTATTTAGACAACAGCACGACTTCACAGCTGCAGGCTTGCAGTTATCGCTCTCAAATTTTGCCGACGAAAATGCGTAGCTGTAGTGGTGCCACTTATATGTAAAATGTAAAACTATTCAAAGTTCTAACAAGTCTAACGGTATTTTACCAAGAACAGCCTATTTATTAATCTTTTGCACACAAAATTTCACTTTGAATAAAATATTTGTATTTCACTGAAGCGAAAGTTTTTAGTACGGCAACAACGAAATTGTGTACATCAGCTGTTTGATATGGCGCTGCCGTCCATAAAATATTCAGGAAGCTGGCTTCAAGACGCCATTTGCAGACAAGAAAATTTCGCTGTGGCTACGTTGTGAAGCGCAGTCTTCTATGTGTTTATGGCATTAATAATTTTGGGTTCAACTTTTTTTTTTAAATACGATACATTTTGAGTAGTAACAGTGTAGAACTCATATATAGAGTGTCCTTTTGTATATACTACATATATTATTTATCCATTTATTATTATTTTGTTTACTTCATGACAAATCAAAAGCATTTTTATGTCAGTGTCATTGATAGCGCTAAGGATTATTGCATTTGCCGTATAAATATGACATTTTCAAGTCACTGACAACGCGATATGAATAAAAGTTCTAAACCGTTTCGTTCTACTTACTACAATTGCTTTGCAAGTAAGAGTAAATGTTTGAAGTCATAGAAAAGTTGTCCAAGCGCACCGTAACATAATGAGAGCATAGCATATATGCTCATATGTATGAAAGTGCAGTGGCACCGTTTATCGTTTGAGCGGCGTTTTAAGTATAAAGTATGCATAACCCATATCGTCGGGGTTGCATGCGGCGAGCATAAGTGCGTGCAAAAGCAGCCGATAAATATGGAGATTGTGCGCAATTCTTTGGACAGAACTTTTGCTTTTATTGCAATGCGGCTGTATGCAGCTGGATGCGTGTATGTGAGTTCATTGCAAACAAATTTGTAAAACTCTTATTTAACTTTGTTTGTGGTTGTCTAGTGTAATAGTTTAAATAATATATTGGTTTTGATAATCAAGCAACAAGATTCAGGAAGATTTTGTTCCATATTGTCAAAGGGCTTAGGAAAATATGTTTACATCTTTTACTGTTTAGAACTTGATCGTTTGTTTGGTGCCTGATGCAATTTTTTCCTTTATTTAATTATTTTATAATCATAAATTTCTTTTTTATTTTTTAGTGTTTGGGATTAAAATTTGAAAGTTGAAAATATAATTTTTTGATTTAAATGAACCCGAAAAAATGCTTAAAAACAAATTCTTTCTTTAATTCTTGAATATATGCTTGAGATGAACATTTTTTTTATTTTTCAATCCAGTATGTGGGATTAATTTTTTTATAAACCCGTAGTATTTGGGATTACAAACTAAAGAAAGTTTAATTTGATTACTTTTCAAAACATTATTTGCAACCCTGGTAGTTAGTAACAAACACAAGTAAGGGAAAACTAAGTTCGGCTGTAGTCGAACATTTTATACTCTCGCAACTTGCAAGGATCCAAACCTGTGAAACACCTAGAGGTGTTAGCAAAACTTTGTACTAAACTAGTTAAAGTATCACCGTGCTTTCATCCATTTAAGACAAGAGGATACACCGTTACCAGAAAGAGATCTTTTCTCAATTGCATTAAGATGTTTTTTTTGTTGACCGATAGAGGCGATATAAAGTGAACCGGGAGTTCGAAAATATTTATGTTAGGTACATAGGCGCTAAGGGAAGTTTTTGCCCAATTTTAACCATTTTTGCACGAGTTGTGGTTAAATTTCGAAAATTTTTGGACGTAAGATGAGACGTAAGATGAGATAAGGAAACAACTTCCTGTGTGTTTAACGTGAGTACCAGCCGTCGACGGCCTTTTCTTACGGTGCGAAAAAGCATAGCGTATTAATACAATGCGTTGATCAGCGCCCCGAAAACGCCTGCATTTTTCAGTACCGATTGGTAGTGCGGAATAGACACACTACACACCTTGGTGGGGTTCGAGGCCTATGTAAAACCTCTGTCGTACTTTGGGTCCGGCACCCGGTTGCAATGCAACTCCACATTCAACTGAAAAAACGACAGTTCTTAACCGTCCATCAGTCCAGTTAATCCCCAAACCTCCGAGATCCCTAATGTGTCCGCGATCAAGTGAACCCAGTCTTCACATCGCGCCCCACACAAACACCCCGACCTATCAGAAAGGTGCCTCTAATGCAAAAATGCTTTCATAGGCCCATGCCCAGTTAACAAAAAACCCAGACTCAGACAAAATCTGAAGTCTGGGTTACCCTAAACAAACCTAACGTCCCGGATGTACTCATAAGTCACCCGACAGTTAGGACTATTGTCCCAACGGTCTTGCCACCCAGAAGGAAACATCGGAGACCCTATAATATACATTGTATATATAAATATATGATCAGCATGATGAATTGAGTTTATTTAGCTTTGTTCGTCTGTCCGCCCGTCTGTTCGTCTGTCTGTATATACGTGAAGTAGTCCCTAAGTTTTACAGCACCTGCCCTTTCCTGCACCTGTCCTTTCCTCTTTAAGGTGCTGCTCATTTGTCGGAATTGGGAATTGTCGATATTGGACTACTATAGCATATAGCTGATATATTAACTGAACGATGCTTGCATGGAAAACTGACGACGTATTTTCACGAAATTAGGCACGAGGTATTGTTTAAGGCAACAATATATGCTCCGAAGAAATTGTTCAGATCACATCACTATATCATATTGCTGCCATATAAATTGAACAATAGGAATCAAGTTCTTGTAAGGAACCTTTGCGAAGGGTATTATAGCTTCGGTGCAACCGAAGTTAATGTTTTTTGTTGTTTTGTATCAAACTATACTTTTTTCAGGAGTAACAGAAACAAATATGTATATCAATATATTATTTTGCTTCGTGCCCTGAAAAATAGGTTCTTAGACACCTCTAAGAAAGTCTCTCAAGGTATGAGCTCTTAATTGTTACGCGAATTACCTCCGCCTTACAGTTTTCCATTTTTTTCCTATTATCAGATAGAAAAATTCAAATCTCGCATCCAATTACATGAAAAAATACCTCGTTCCAATAATTTTGTAGGAAATCGAATGCTCTACAAAAAAGTTCCTCATAATTTTTTCGTAAACCTAAACTGAAGAAAATATTAACGGTTGAAGTTTGACTATTTTAAGACAAAATTGTTTTTTTTTCTTTAGAATTTTATAACTCAATAAAAACATCCTTTTAAATTGTAAAGTTCATTGCTTTATAGGAAGTTTTCTATTTTTGATAGGCATTGATGTTTGATAAAGAATATCTCGTTGACACCTAAATTTTTCAGAGTAAGAAGCGAAAAAAACATTCGTTTTTTTGACCCACCCTCATGTATATGTAATTAAACTCCATTGAATTATGATTAAGTCAATTCACAGATTTCCCTCGAGAATAGAAATCACTTTCAAATGAAATGGAGTGATATTAGCTCCAAACCTGCTTCAAGTTATGAAACTACAAATGACTAAGTTTAGCTTTCGCCGTTCTCGTTAAGTAGAGATTTGAAAACACACACAAATGTCATTCCATACAAAATTCTATTATTGTTGTTAAATTTCCAGGCGAACTCGAACTTTGAATGCATTTCTCAGAATAAATAACCTCACAAATTTACTGCTTTAATTTGAAAATTGATGTGACACATGAGTATTTGTCAAGCGCACAGAACGCGAATCCTCAGCAATAAATCGCATGAAATAACAACAAACAAGAACAGGAAAGCATTAAAAATTACCGAAAAACGAAGAAGAATCGCGCACCCGCATGCGTTCGCAGACGATACTTGGAAAACAGTCTTTAGCATACAAAAAGGCGCTGTGGCATATGCTTAGAAGCACTTCACACACACACACATTCCCACATATACACATTTGTTTTCATCAGCATACTTGTCGGTACAATTCGCTTTATTTGCAACAGCGCGCTCTTCCTTATTTACCGAACAGACAGACACACACAAGTTTCACGCCAGTCGACGAATGCACACAATGGCCGTTGTGTGAGTGTCATTTATGTGGTGGTGTACGTGCCAACGTTCGACATTAGAAGAAAAGCCAAAGAAGTAGAAGCAGTTTGTTTTTATTTCCTTTTGGCGCGGCAATTCATTTTTTATTAGGTGATATTTCAATTGTGTTGGCATTCGAATGACGCAATGACGTTTCATTTGCGGTTGCTTCAGAGTGTGTGTGCATGTGAGTGTGTTATACGGTGTTTATAGTTGGCCATTAGCTGTCTAGTCGCTCCCATCAATAATCACTTTATTCAAGAAACTGCGACGGCCATCGTCTTCTCATTCACCTAACTCATCGCTTCAATAACGAAATTGATGTAGAATGATTAGTAATAAAGTTCTGTTAGACCAACAAATAAACTGAGTAAAAAATTAATAAAAGAATTTGTCTAGTTGGCACGATTTGATTCGCCATTTGACGAACTGCTTGTCTCTTATTACTTGTGTAAGGAGTCAATTAAATATGTCTGTATCGGAATATGTCACTATTGGAAAACCGAATATTCTGCCATGCCAAAACCGGCAGTCAGATGTGTAGAATTTCGGTTGTTATACGATTTTTTGAGATCTTTCTGCAATATGTTTTTGGAGTTTGTAGCGTTGTTTTGGACAGTAATCCGTATCGAATTTTATAAAGATATCTTATCAAGCAAGAGAAGTTTTCCATGCAAGAACTAGGTTTTGATCCGCCAGCTTGCACGACTGCTA